CTTGGAGGATTCCGTCTGTTCCAGGCACTATTCTGCTAATGAAGAAATATGAGACCCCCCAGGAAGGACTGCCCACATCAAGTGTCAGTGGTGTTGGATGGCTTCTGATAGCAGTTGTGCCTCTTCCATTCCATTAGTCACCATCTTTTGGATGAGGGTTTTTACTTGTTACATGTCCGAAGACCAGGCTGGGAAGAGACCAAGCAACTGGGACTCTACATGAAAGACTATGCCACCTTTCCAAACCATTCCATACTAAGACTTGCTCTTCTGGTAAGACTGGTAACACTCTAAAGCTTTCCTCAGAATAGTAGTGACTGTGCTTAACAAATTCCTTTGCTATGCCTGTATTTGTTACTTGCATCCCATGTGTTGGAAGACGTGAATCAGAAAGATAAAGCGACAACTAGTAGCAACTGAGGGAGCATGTTTAAGCAGTAGGAAACTTGGAAGGTGGAGTCTGCAATCTTACAGGTAAAGATAGGAGGCTACAGTGCCCATCTCCTTGGGGCATATGACAGGCATAGGTTTATGCCTAGGAAAATGTGTGTTTCTTCATATCCATAGCTGCAGCTGGTAATGTTTGTTAGTACTTTGTGGTGATAGACAATTCAGTTGTCACATATTCTGTGTAAATTGTCATGGATTTCATCTTCCTCTGCAAAGGTGTCCAAACAAATTCTCTTAACTTCTTAATGGTGGCCTTAGCAGGAAGCCCATAGCTTGAATGAAACGTGGAGAATGAACTAGCCTCATTCCAGTTTCTCCAGGCAGCAAAGTGAGATACCTTACTGCTGGGAAAAATGTCCTCTTAAAGTCAGTTCAGTGAAAGAAAACGTGTCTCCAAGTCCGAGTATTTACACAGGAGGGAATTACTTCATTGGAAAGTAATTAAAGCTCACAAAAGTTGTAGCATGGCTTAAAACAACCAATACCAGCCCCTGTTTCCTGCTTTCTTTGTGTAAAAATCTTCTGTGAAAAGACGTCTTCGTTACTCTGATTAGGAATTGTATAAAGGTAATTCCTTTGCAGATTTATTTTTGGCATCATGCTATTTCAATTACTTTTGCCATTGAACATGCCTATAGTAGAGCAGCAGTATGTTCTTGCATCTTAAGCAGATACAATTTCAATGGATAGTAGAGTGGCTGAGACAGAATCACTCCCTGGCTGCAGACTGAATGTATAGTGTTACGTGTGAATAGCTGATGCAGTATCTGAGTCACTGTAATGCATTTCAATGCCCAGTGTCCTGTGCAAGTTGTGTTTCTAAAATACGATCCTTTTTTCTTGTGCACCACTCTTTCAATGATGTGTTCAGACAAGGCCAAGATCTCTTTTCTTTCAATATGTGTGGATTTTGATTTGTAAATTTTGGGCACATTTTCCAAAGGACACACACTTACGGCTTTCTCAAGTACCTCTAGCATCAAAACTAGGTCTCCAGTTAAGTTTATTTCTGAGCTCAGACTCCAGTGATTAGACAGGTTGCATCTCTCATTTGCAGCTGATAGTATCAGTGATAAGACTTACGCCTGCTTGACTGGCTTCCTGTTTGGCAAATGGTGCAGTCTGTAATTCACAGCATTACAGACCAGTTTGGACTATTTACATCAAAGAACTGCTCTCCTCTCCAAAACAGATTTGTCTTTCTATCTGACTTTAAACCTGTTTGAATGATATGAAATTTTTAGATCAGGTCCTGTTCACTATCTGCCCATCAGTGCAGCTGGCTACAGACTTGAACGTAACAAAATGCTAGGAAAATGGTTCTTGGCTCAAATGTTTAGGCTAAGACAGTTATGGAAATTGGAAGAAACTGAAGCTGAGCATTCAAACTTGCATGTGATTGCCCCTTTGCCATGCCATTCGTCTCTGATGTTTATGTTTTGCAAGTGGATGATTTCATCTCATGCAATCCATGGTGCTGTTTTTAGAGTAAGGAGACTGGAGACTTTCGAGGTGCAATAATCTTCCAAGCCTGCTTCCATTTGCCCAAAGAATGCTGATTCTCAAGAGTACCTTGTGTTTCCTAAGCATAGTCTAGCAAGGGAAGAGAAGTCAGTCCCTTAGAAGTGAGAAAATACAAGAGAACATCTAGATGCTGCTTTGGGTAGCAAGAAAAAATGATTGATAAGCTTGGCACTTGGCTGATGCACCTTCCGAGCTCTTTCTCTCCTCCATCAACCACCAGAATGACTTGTGTATTGCATTTAAAACCTGATCTCCTGCTGAGTGATTTATATAGGGGTCTGTAGAACCCAGTGAGTGGCATGAGGAGTTTTGGTGTGTTCTGTTGCCCAGAATGTGTTGAGGCAACAGATTCCTTTTTGCTACTGCAGCAGGTTTAAAATATGTACCTTTGCCTTTTCAGTAAACATTCTCTGTCTCTCCATTCTTCTCCTTGTCTCTGTATGTCTCTTTTTTTTGTCTCCTGCCAAAATAAATCTGGCTGCCATGCACTGCAGTTAACTCAAAATACTGCTAGTATTAAATGTGCCCAGACATTTTTATTAATACATTAAACTTGCATGAAATTTTTAGGCATAATTTACCAAGCTTACACCAAGATGGCATTTGAAACTGACATGAGCTATTAATTAAAAAAGAGGACATTAAATAATTGTCAGTTGACATCTAAATTACTGTTTTGTTAGCTGACAGAAGCTTGCCTCAAGCCTCTTCCTCTTCTTAAGTGTTAGTAAATATCGCATTGAATTTAATGGCATCCCATTATGAACTGATTATTTAATTCTTAACATTATATACCTAACTAACTAAAGTTGTAAATGCTGTTGATTATTTCACAATGAGCTGTCAGTGTTGTGGGTGTAGAAGCACTTCTGTTTTAAGAGTTTGGGAAGTATCAAGGGGGACACATCAGAATGCTTCCTGATTTTAGTGGAAGCCTGTTCTTGCAATGTGTTGGTTAGGTTCAGTACCAGCTAATTGGGGTTCTAGCATAAAAAGAGATTGTCTGCATCAAGGCCTTCAACTGGTATAGGCTGAACAAATCCATTGACTATGAGAGTACTGTGCTGGGTGACGCCTACTCAGAGTATATCCCAGCTAGGGAGACAAATTAATAAAGGGCTTGAGGCTTTTGTGGGAATAATGATATGAAATTTACAACAAAATTTGGCTGAAGGTGAGTGCTCTATCAGTTGGATAAAGGTATTTTCCTAAACAAACACTAATAATCATAACTGGTCAAGAAACAACAAAGTTGTCTGCAGAAGATACACGAGGTCTTGTCTCCAGTCCTAAAGGATTGGCGGTTATCTTGGTATTGATTGTCACTGAGGGTTTCAGGTTGCCTGCGTCCCTGAGTGATTCAAGATAGCTGTGTGACTATAATATTTAAAATACATAGTTTTGCCCTCAGACATTGTGGAATTATGTCTTCTTTAACTGGTCAGTGTCAGTATCTTTAAGGCAAAAAGTTTGCATATTGTGTCATGTTTCCAGCCTTATAACCACGGTTTTGGCATGAAGCTGGAAACTCCACTCTACCTCTTAGCAAACGCTTGTAGACTGGGAACAGGAATCATAAGGGGTCAATGTAAGGTCATCGTTAAAGATGTTAAATTTTGATGCGTTACAAAGTGAGTCACTTTCCCTAGAAAGATCAGAGGATGGTATCATAGATGTTCAAACTGTCTCAGCATTATAAAAAGAAAGGGGAGGTAGTAAATGTGGAGCAGTTCATAGATCATACTATCTGCATTTCATCCAGGCAGTAAATTTATTGCCTTCAATGTCTGATCTTGACTTTGTGCCTCTTCTCCTTTTATTTCCTTTTCTCTTGGTCCTGGTCCCTGGATTTTCTGTTTTGGCTTGACTCTTTATCATGCCCTTGCCAACATTGTTCTGTCTATACCGTCGTTAATACACCAGCAAGTTTGCTGGGCATTCTAGGTTTGTTCTTCTGGCCAGATAATAGTCTTAATCTCTTTTAGGTTAATACACAGAATTTTTCAGTGTTTTATAAGAGAATAGTGTGTTACTGGAAAGGAAACATTTTGTGATAGTTGTGTTAGTCTGGGGAAGTGTCTCCCTGGTAAAATAATAGATGCTTTGCCTTTTTCTGTTGGGCAGGCAAAACACTGAAGTACTTGCTGCAAGGGGTCCCCTTGTTTTGATCTTTGAGTTTAAGAGCAACAAAATAAGCAAGAGATGCTTTGCTCTTTTTATGAAGAATGCCTGTGATGTGGACATCCTTCTATCCAGCTGTCTAAGGGAGGCCAAAAGCCATTTCTTAGGTCACTGAGTACAGCTTTTGCCTTCAGTTCATGAAAATGTTGATTAATTAATGTCTGAGGTTTTTTTAGTCACTTATAAAATGTCTTAAAGGGACACAAAAAAGTATCCATATCTGAAGATTACCATCAGTCAACAGATAACTTGCAGTCCAAATTCCCTGCTCCTGTACATCTGTACCCTGTTGCTGGTCCTTGGAGAAGATGAGAAGTGGCTATTGCCTAAGTAGTCTAGCACTGCCTCTTCTACCTATGAACCCATCACATGCTCAAAACCTTAGGGGGAGAAATGTGAAGGTCAGAAACACATCACTTCCAGCAAGAATGATCACTGCGTGACCTTGGCCTGTAAGAAGACTTTTGAAACAAGGCTTTTTGCTTTCATCCCTTAAAAATACCTTTTTTTTTTTTTTAATTAGTGAATTTGCTGTTATAATACAAACTAAAAAAAAACAGAAGCTTAACCAAAAGTGTTTGAAAGATTTTCTTTTTAGAAAGAATTGCAGTCTGCTGTGATTTCTTTCCTATTTCTGAAATGTCAAAACCCTGCTACAAGAAATTTCCTTTTGCCACACAGATACACTAGATGATACACTGTGCATCACGGTCCGCTAGATGCTTGCATGTATGTTATGTGTAACTCAAATCACAATTATGGGGAAGTATCATGCATAAAGAGAGGAGTTAAACATTACAGTTTGTGTATCATACTGCCTCAGAAAATGTGTGGGACAATTACTCTTACCTTCTATCCATTTTGCCATCTGACTCTAAAAAGACAACAGGAAAATGAGATTAGTTAAGAAACCAGGAACAAAATGGTGATAGGCCTGCTCAGAAGTTATGAGGATGCAACCAGGAGAACATAGTTACAGCTGGTAAGATCCAGCTGTTCTTTCTGAGGCAAAGCTCTTTGATATTAGTAGTGTTATGCGACCTTCCTAAAATCCTTGCTTCTTCCAGCTGTAATACGTCCATTTTCTTAGATCCATATCTTTGCTGATATTTTGAGTATGATTGTAGCACATTCCCAGAGCATTATGAGAAGCAACTTTGTGGGCAGATGCGTGATGAGAATGAGGTAGAAGCAGTTTCCCTTTAGGCCTGCTATGTAGTGCCACTAAAGAAAGAATTAGCTATCTGTCTTTCAGGAAGTGGCATTACATTGTCATTTGTATCCTCATGAGGTACCTGGGGTGTCTGTATGCAAAATGGTCCTTTGAAAGAACAGTGTGTACTGTAAATGGGATGAAATCAGGTTGTGACTGATAGGCTGAGCTCACTGTAGCAGTACTGGTCCCAGAGAGCTCAGTCTAGTTCACTCCAAGCTTAATAGTTAAGATCACTGCTCTCCTCTTTACTAAGCAAGCAGTGTGTCATGGTGCACTAACGATTTAGTAGAGTTAGACAGTTCTGGATGCCAGAAAATTACCTCTCATTTGTTGTGTGATAGTTAATGCAAAGACATAGCCACAGAAGCAAACTTTTCTGGATACAGTGGTCGGACAAGCAGCTCCTAGTCCTGTGCTGTAGCAGCCTGACCAGAGTTCTCTCACTGCTTTTTCCTTGTTTAATGTCTGGTTCATCTTTCATGGTGGAAAGTGGCTACATTTATCAGAATAAATGATTTATTATGTTTTTAAGTGGACTGCAAAAGCTGGCTTTTTGCATGCAACCAGAGCTGTAAAGGTGCTTTTTTTGAAATTCAACATGGAGATTTTTAAATTCACCATTGTGTCCCTTCCCATGGCAGGAGGATTGGAACTAGATGATCTTTAAGGTCCCTTTCAACCCAGATCATTCTATGATTCTATGGCATACAGAGAGCAAGGCTTTCAGTTCCCAAGCTCTTATTACAGTTCCTCTTCTTTCATTAAGGATTATTTCCCCACATATTTCATGAGATTGCCTCACTGCTTCCATTTCTGCTATGGTTTCTTTCTGAGCTGAATTCTCATGTACTACTAAGAGTACAGACCTCTCTTAACGAGCTAAACATAGGTTGCAAAGATTTGCCTTAGCAAAGTCCTAGGGCTCTTTCTTGCAAATAAGAATAGCTTATACTGATGTTCTGGTTAACCTGCCAGGACTTTGCTTTTCCTTATTTGCCGTTAACTGTTACTATTTTATGTGCTCTGCTCTTTTATTTCTAGCTTTTAATTGCAGATGAGTGTTACTGTGTGCTGTCATCCACAGACAACAGTTGTATTTCAGCAGTGGAAGAAATCATCACTGTATTTGTTCTGTATGGCTCTGTGAAGCACTCTGGAGTGCTATCAAGTAAGAGAGTATCTGAGGATGGGGGGCCATGGGACAAATTCCGCCTGTTACTAACTTCTGTCTACTGAAACAATGGGCATTATTCAGTTTAAGATTTTGGTTTTGAATCTAAAACCATGGTTGTAAATTGCTGGTCCAAAGTCAAAAGGAACTGTTACTAGCAGCACTTATGATTTTAGGTTAAAGGGCCTTTGCCTGTTTCAGATGAAAAACATGCTTTTCTCTAGAAACTTGAAAACCAGTTGCAGTGGAAAACTTACAGTTTTGTTATGTACTCTGATGGAAACTGCATATCTTAGTCTCATAGTGGCATTTGAAAGAGAAGTCCAGAATCAGTGAAATAAATAGTTATTTTGGTTAGGAAGTGTGAGCAAGCCTCTTGCCCATCCTGCAGATGCAACAGGGTCTTTATCTTACATTGAATAGACAGAATTTTGTTTTAAAAATTAATCATTCTAAAAGATAACTGAGCAGTATGCTGAAGTGAATCTGTTTCTCTGATACAGTTGAAGCGCAGAGTTGCAGTTACAGGACTCCAGCACTTCAGACACCTTTTTTAAATAGTTCAAAGGAAAACTAGACCTATAGCACATTCACAGTTCCTAACACTGAAACTCATAGCTGCTATATTGGTACATAAGGAGATCTAGATCTCTGGCTAAGAAAGCAGGAGTATTTTTTCTTACCTCCAAAAACATTGTCAATCATCTGTTTTTTGATCATGCAGATTATTACTGCTACAAAAGCGATTGCTAGAAATGCTCCCAGAGTAACTCCTATAATAACATATGTGAAATCTACAAAAATTGAAAACAAGTCAGTGAGTATACACCCTTAAGTAATACATACAGTCTTTGTGTTTCAGATGTGACACTTAAGTTTCCAAAGTTTAAATGCATCTCTAAATAAATAAACAAACTTATTTATTCTTCAGAAGGGCGTGATAATGCTGAGGCAGACTAGGTAGCTGAAGAGTTTACTCTTTCAGCGCTCTGCACATCATGAAACCATGTCAACTTGCAGCTAAGGGGCTCAAAGCCATTTTATGATAATGAACAACTTTAGCCTTTGGTACATGCAGGTCTCCTCTGACTTGTATAGCTAGGGGTCTACTTTTCCCCCCAAAGTGAAATTCCCCATCCTCACTCCCTCGTCACTCTGTATTTTGCCAAACTCATTCCTGCTTCCCATAGCTGCACACACATATCTTCATCTCCACCTCCCAGTCCCTAGCCTCCTGCCCTGCCCAACTATTCTGCCTCTGTAAGTCTTCACTGAGAGGAAGCAGGAGAATTTTTAAGTGTAAACTAGGGGCAATTTTGTCATTTTTTTTTTTTTTCCCCATCACTATGTGTACATAAGGGTTCACCTTCACTTGTCAGGCAGGAGGATGCCTGTGCTGAGGGCCTGTGTTCGGGATCTCTCTATGCTCACTGTATTTACCTAAAAGTACTTTAAAAGCTCCAGTCACACAGCAGAACTCTGCTGTGCTAGGCAAAGTACAAACATGCAATCAAATTATTATCTTCTACACATAACAAGTACATAAAGTCTTCTCAGCACATTCATTTTTGTGTTTCTTTGCCCCTAATTTCCTGTCTGGAAGCAAAACTCTCACCGTGGACTCACCTATATCCTCCTCTGAGTTTCCAGAAGCATAGACCTTTGCTCTCCAAAAATCTGAAATGGAAAAATTTTAGGCTATGAGGACATCAAGGAGAATGCTCTGTATTCAAGGAGAATACTCTGCCTGGGTATTTCCAAGGGGATGGTTGATCCTGGTAAAGCTTAAAAAAGGATCTGAGGTTTCCTGGAGTAGTGAATTGTTATCCGTCACATTAATGAGGACATCCTAGGAACGTGGCCACTGCATGCCAGGTTTTGGACAGAACAGAAAATAGAAAATTTTAACATTTTATGTTGTATTAGCACTGTTTCCATTCCAGAGTTTCCTGCCTGGAAGCTGTATGCAGGAGAAGTTGCGACAAATCAAGAAAAAGCAGTAAATCTACTGGCATGCTAACAAGAGAGAATATAGCACACCCCAGCATGCCCCTCCAGAAAATCTGTGTCTTAGTCCTTCCTATAGCTCTAGTCTTCAAAATGTGACTTGTTCCTGGTGGAGAGGAGTCTTTTCCTGTTGTGTAAAAAGGTTGCTAGAAGCAACCTTTTCAGAGACTCCCATGCCAAGTTCCCTGTTCATCAAAAGACACCCTCCTAGCCCTTCCCTTCACCATAAAGCACTGAGCTGTGCTGCCTGATGCTCAGAGTCTGCAGGCCCTCAGAATGGAGTGGCTTTGAAGAAAACAATTCATTCCCACATACTTTTTGAAGGAAAAATTCAGAATTTTCCAGAAAGAAAAAAAAGTCAAGAGAAAGGGGATGTTATGTTTAGTTTTAACGTTGCTTGCTTATTACAGGAAATGGCTAAAAAGGTACACTCAAAGTTTCTTTTTCAGTGACGGGCATATTTCCACCGAAGTCTTTCCTAGCACCTCAAATGATGTAATTGATGTGTAGCTGCATGAGGTGCCTGGAGCATGAGAAGGCTTTAACGGCAGATACGACTGCTGCGTTTTAAAACAGCACGCTGCTTGAGGTTTGGGGGGCTGTGCTTTCATTTCTTGTCCTGAAAATGAACACTAGAAATACGATTACTTTTAAACCTAAAGCATAGTCCTACCATTCGAAAACCAGCCATTTTGGTACCTTTGGAGAAATCTATCTTGTGTCTCCTTTTCAGACTGCTGAAACTCTCTTGAGCTGAGTGTGGGCTCCGGGGCTTCCATGGTTATGTCAGAAATATCTGATATATTGAGTGGCTCACAACAGTTTTGTTTTTATTTCCTGGTCTTAATCACATTTCTAATCCCAAATATTCATAAATTATGATCCAAGCTTCAAAAATCTGGAGACAAGCTTAAAAAAAATCTTGAGTTTTAAAGCAAATATATTTTAGAAACTATAATTCTGAGCTGAAAGTCCTGTTTTGCCAAACTTTTTTTCATAATTAAAATGTCTGGAAACTTATTTTATACAAGCAGAAATGTTTTCTCTCCAAAACCCCCATGGCACTCGACGAAGGGAGTTGGGAGGGGTGGGGAATCCAATTGCAGCTATGATCACAAGAGCTGCTATATCAAATGACCAAAATCAAAGTTACAAAGAAAAGGAAATGTAAAAAAGAAAAAAATCTAAGACTACACAATGAGTGTAAAAAGCTGCTGATTTTCCAGATCAAAAACCAGTCTCTTTGCTCTCGCCTCTGAATTTATTTCATTATAAATTAAAAAAGAAAAAAGAAAAAAAAAACCTTTCTTCCATCCCCTTAATTATTCTTTGTGCTCATATGAAGAATGTTTTAAATTCAAATATAATAAAAGTGATATTGTAATACTTTTATTATCCTAATGATCATTATACATAGACCTTAATGTATGCTTTCTAATGGAATTAAACCAGTGACAGATTATGTGTTTTATGGCAGAAATAATATTTTACATGGAATTTTTTATGTAGGTCAGTTTAATATATTGAAATTAAATTATTAGTTTCTTTCTGAAAAGGGAGGAAGGGAAATCTCTGAAAACCCACAGGACTAGAGAGAACGCTTTCAATTCATATTTTCAATATGGTTTTAATTAAGGTTTAATATTGTTTACTGGGTGCTGCTTAAATACAATTTGATGTTGAGGACTATGTTAGATAGCTAGCTTCTGTCTGTTTCAGGTTCTTCTTAGGTAGAAAGAAGTGGGTTGACTAAATCGAATACACATGTTGCTGTTTGACTCAGATCCCAACTTCAATTTAGGTATTTTGTGGATGTACACAAACCTCTTTCTACAGAGAGGTTAGAAACGATGCCTTAAATTTTGGACTGCTGTAGTCCCAGTGCTAGCTTTCTGACCCCTTATCTCTGTGTTTAGACTAATTCCCACATCTTGAACAATACGCTGGACTTGGAGAATATTTGCTTCTGGGTGGAAGAGCCTTGCAGGTGAATGCAGTATCTATACTTAAGTGACTCGTGGAGCGCTTTTCAAAGGGTCTTGAAGTAGCTGATGGTGCCTTCTCACCTCTCTTATGTACCTGGCTCAGGTGTAGCGTGCAATTGGCACTGTAATAAGGATGTGCCCTTTCAGGCTCTGGCAGCACCAGGAGGCTGGTGAGAGGTGTGAGCTGCATCTCTAACTGGCTGTGGAATGTTTTTGTGTGTGTGGTGTTGGTAGAGAGTCCAGAGACTAGACAGGTCCTGCGTTAGAGTTGGGGGGAACAGAGAAAGAGTAAGTGTGATTGTGAGGCAGCCTGCCTGAGGAGCTGGGTTTGGTGTGATATGCTGGAGCCAGGCGCGCAGCTTAAGAAGCTTTTCTTCTGGCTGCCCACTGCAGTCCTCTGCCACTGTGGTTACCTCCTCCAAAGCAGAGCTGCTGAGCAGGTGGTGAACCTGCAGGTAAATACGCCAGGGTGGGACTGGGCTTGAGCCCTGGTCTGTGATCCCAATGTATCCCTGAGCAGGCTTAGCCCTCCTCAGACTGCGAACAGAGCTGGGCAAAGCAGAAAACAGTTCCTGAGCTGCTCTGAGGGATGTTCTGTTCTCCCTGTGCTCTCCACTACGTAACTGTGTTCACGAGGTGCCTTGCCCATAGGTCAGCACAGTGAGGAAAGTGGTGCAGAATGCAGTTTGGACATAAGATCAGGGAGCAGGAATAGCTCACTTTTCCCACCTTATTAGATACTGTGAGCAACTCCCAGCCATAGCCTGCCGTGACAAATGGCAGTATGTGCCTTGCCTTTCTCAGTGTACAGCACTTGCCTTAGTCCCTTTGCTCACTGCCTCCTGCTTCCATGTGACTTTCTTCTCCCTTCCTCCCTCATCTCAGATTTCTCCTCGTTGCAGCACATAATGGCTGGTCCCATGGCATTGCAGCAGCCCAGGGTTCAGGACCATTTCTCTTTGGGACAGCAAATGGGAAAGGAAGCAAATACCTGGGAAACCCTGAGGTAGGCTGTAAAAAGGGATGGGTCACAGTGGGTGTCGAGCAACTCCAGAGTCAAATAAGGAATGCCCATGACAACAAAGAGATTACTGGCAATGAGCGTGCTGGACATCATTCGCGAAAGACATTATTAAAAGAAGTATTTTTGGCTGGTATTTAGTGTAGCAAAATTCCCAGCTACAGATGAATTTCGTAAGATAGGCACTGTTGGCATCCAGGCAAATGAGGTCCTTTCTTGGACCTCAAATTAGAGGCAAAATCCTCTGTAACAATAGATGAACACAGGAGTCACTCTTACATAGAGACAGAAATTTGGCAGAAATGAGCTCTAGTCTTTGCCAGGCACCCCTCCATCCAAGGCCTATAGATTGCCTGCACCTTTCCATGTCTCACTTGGAGGCATGTTAATGCATTTTCCTTGTATTATTGCAAAGTGCCTTTTGCTGTAGAACATGTTTTGCTGCCCTTGAATTGGCATCTCTTTGCTCTAAGCAAATGCTACTGTACTAATGGGACTTGTGTTATTTGATTGGTGAGCAGTAACTAGTCAGTAACTAGGGAGCAGTCATTGCTGACTTCACACCTGTGACAATGGTTGGTTATGTATGTCTGGCATGGTGGACAGTTTCTATTCCTCTGGAGTCTTGGAAGTGTCACTAGAAAGGCACAGAGGGCTTGAAGGGCCAACAAAATCCTGTGCATACCTTGAGAAGGACTACAAGAGGATAGAGCACTGCTGTAGATCTGTGGATAGCTTTGCTCACAGAAGCTGAGGTAGGAGCAGATATCCAGTGGGTGCAAACAGGGATAGCTGGTTTATATGACCCAGGCACGAGCAAACTGCTCTTGTGGGATTCCCCAAGGGTAGATGATTTTTTATGAATTTCTGCATGAAGTAGGGTAGTGTGGGAGGTGTTCATTAGATAAAGATGAGGCTTACATAATGTCTCCAAGACCACAGTAACTGCTGTAAAATTCTGCCTTTGTGGGTGCTGCCAGCTCCATTCTCCCCATTTAGTCTACATTAGTTAGTCTACAGTGTTAGTATAGCCCCTACTGACACTTGCTATGCATGAGCCCCAGTTCTTCGCTGCACAAAGTGGACGTGAGTAACGATGAAATAATAAGTAAATTGTGAGAAAGCTGTGCTTTGGGCTGTCAGGAAGCATTAGAGGCAGAATGAATCAGAAGCATCAAGTTCTGTAAGTGACTGTCGTGGTTTAAGCCCAGCCGGCAACCCAGAACCACGCAGCCGCTCCCTCACTCCCCCCACTTTTTCTTCCTCCCCCCACTCCCGGAGGGATGGGGAGGAGAATCAGAGGAATGTAACTCCCACGGGTTGAGATAACAGCTCTCCAGTAACTAAGGTATAACACAAACCACTGCTGCTACCAATAATGATAATAATGATAAGGGAAATAACAAGGGGAGAGGACACAACCGCTCACCACCCGCAGACCGATACCCAGCCCGACCCGAGCAGCGATCTGGGCCTTCTGGGTAACTCCCCCCAGTTTCTATACTGGGCATGACGTGCTGTGGTATGGAATACCCCTTTGGCCAGTTTGGGTCAGGTGTCCTGCCTCTGCTTCCTCCCAGCTTCCCCTCCTCCCTGGCAGAGCATGAGACTGAGAAAGTCCTTGGTCACAGTAAACATTACTGAGCAACAACTAAAACCATCGGTGTGATCAGCGTTGTTGCCAGGCTGAAAGTCAAAAACACAGCACTGCGCCAGCTACTAAGAAGGGGAAAAATGACTGCTGTAGCTGAACCCAGGACAGTGAGAGCTGCAGAGGTCAAAACTGGCTTGCAGATAGCATGCACGTAGATGAAATTTTTTCTTATGCTCTGCTGCAGTACTGTTTTCTATACAGTGCCAAACAGGATGCTGGTAACCTCTGCCATCTTATCTGGAAGGATGCAGGTATTTAACTTCACGGTATCTTCTGGATTCACACAGCAGACCCTTTAGCACTCAGTGTAGGAAATGCTAGCTGAGAAAACTCAGCAAAATACCTCACTGTCTCAAAAAATGTTCTCTCTCCAAGAAACAGAGTTCTAGAAAAAGTTTTAAACATCATACATAAAACTAGACTGGGAAATAAATAACCCTACCAAGCTCAGGGGAAAAAAAAGCTCTCAAAAAGAATTGAAAAGAAATATGATATATGACTTACATAAAAGAAGAAGAAATGTCAGTAGCACTGATATCCAGCTTGTTAGGAAGGTCATTGTGAAGTTTTGACACAGAAGTTTCACCCAAATTTTCTGAATTCAACTCTTCTGCAGTGTCTTCCTAAAAAAGTTAAAATCAAACCCAGACATAAAGCAGGTCATGTGACTATACTGGGAAATTTCAGCCACATCCTGAGTAGTTACATTTGCAAACAGAAGTTCCTCTTCTTGTGTTTCAGTTAAACATATAAATAAATTCCCCACTTGAAGATGTTCTGTGGAAGTGTCCTGGGTTCAGCTATAGCAGTCTTTTTTTTTTTTCTCCTCCTCCTTAGTAGCTGGGGCCGGGCTGTGTTTTTGCCTTGCA